AAGTATGAACGACAGCCGTCAAACATTTGTGAATAATTGGTAATGGCTTTATTATTTTCATAAATATTCAGCTGACATAAACTAGCAATTCCAATCCCGCCACACAATATCACAAATGCCAGGCGCAGGATGAACATCACACACACACACACATCGCACACACAACACATCACCACACACACACACACACACACACACACACACACACCGCGCCCAGCGTCACACAGCACATCACACACACACACACACCACACACCCAACGTACAACACACACACACAGCACACACACACACCACACGCAACACACACACCAACAACACACACACACAACATCACACACATCACCACAATGATATCACGGTAAATGAATAGCCCGCTCCGATAGCTCAACAAATCTGGTGACATAGTCGGTTTGCCAGGACCCTATAAATCTCCTATATGTTGACGGCCTGCAATGTTTAATTACTTGAACGTTTTTTCATTGGAAAATGTGTTCTATTAGTTAGCCAGAGCTGATTTAGACTTTGGTTGCTCCAATGTGCGCAACGTTGAGCATAGTTCTTGAAATTCAAGATGGCGCGCCGCGTCGAATCTTGGATTTTGGTCAATTTACAATTGCTTGATCTCGATGCCCTAAGGAGCTGTCATGCAATATGACGCTTTTTAGGGCGTTTTCGAGGCAGGGGAGTACCAATTCTGAGTTCATTGTTTTAGATATGGGTCAATGTCAAGGTCAAAATGAGCGGTCAACAGTTTTAAAATAGAGACACTTTTAATGTAATTCACTGTTCATAGATGTATATATAGGCTTACACTTACGCATTTCTATTTGTGAACATTACAAAGACCTAAATGGATAAAAACCACCCACACCATGGTATGGGATTCACCAGCAGTCCTGCCGGCACTCATTCGAGACAGGCAACAAAAACATGGGTGTGTGATGCAGCTCACGCATCCCGCAAGTCAAGAACACGAGGCATTCATCTCAGCAACTCATAGCACATATCCAGGCTATACAGCTAGCCAGCACTCACACAGCGACCTTTCCAAGCTAATCCACACTCTGATCGCAATTGAAGAGCTCTGTCCGCAGAAGGAGTCACAGCTTCAATCGCCGCTGGCAGTGAGTTTTCCAGTCAGCCAAGGCGAGACGCAGCCTGGTCTGTCGCAAGTCATGAGACGTGACAAGCCCTGTCGGATGGGCGGAGCTTCAATGGCTCAGCAAGACGACTAGTGGCCGGGCTTCTG